TGGCCTTCCTAAAGAAAACAGCTTCAGACAGCTGAGCAAAAGAGTTATGGAGAGTGCTGAGATAGGAAATATCTACAGTTCCTGATATATTATGATTGGCCCCGGGACCGAGGAAGCCGAGAGCCAAAGGTAGTCCTAAAGGGTGCTAAACTGTACAGTGCTAATGTACACAACAACATCCTCATACAAGCAGATGTTAAAAAAAAAAAAAAAAAAAATAAATGGAAGAACAAACTCTTGACTGGGGGTGGTGCGAGCAGATACACAGCAGTCGAGCTCCAACTCTCAGACATCAGCAAAGCACCCTCCAACCCGCCCTCCCGCCAGTCCCATCCTCTTCGGAGACACTGCAAAGGGGGAAAAGTCTTCCTTAATCTGTTCAGGTTATAAATTAAGGTTTACAAAATAAGGATGCTTAGAAATACCTGAAGTACACTTAAAAACAGGGGAGATGGGAGGGCGCAGGGGCATGTGACCCCCCCCCCCTGCACCTCCCTACACTTGGAATCAAACGCGTTTTAAGCCACAAGTTGCAACCTATTTTCTAGTAAACATTTTTTTTTTCTGTATCATAAAACCATAAAATTTGGCACAGTTGTCATCTCCACCGGCAGACAGCAGAGAGGGGAGCAGGAGGCAGGTGTGTTTTGTTGAGCTGTCTGGAAGCAAAAAAAGGGGGGATGCTGTGCTTTGCACCGGGGTCATCCCCCAGCTCCCCTCTCGGTTTCTTCTCTCACTGCAACAAGAACAAGAGAAGGAAGGACCTTCCCACCATTTCAGTAACCAAAACCCAACAGACCCAGACAAGGAGAACATGAGCTCTTGATGAAAAGTCCTCCGCTGGCAGTGGTTGTGCAAGTGGCCACGAATGCCAGAGCCTGGCCTCCCTCCTTCCCTCCTACGGATTATTTTGCAAAAACAAAAAAAAAAAGACAAAAGAAAAGAGTCAGTAGAGTTTTCTATTAAACGTGCCCCAAAGGCCAATTTTTTCTGCTGTCAAGTGAGACAATTGCGAAACCAAACGCTGTACAGTGGAAAGAACCCAGGACAAATCCTACAGGCTGCTACTTAGGTCTGGCAGAACGATGTATAACCTAAAGATCAAAGCCACAGAAAATATCGGGGGGGGTGGGGGGGTTATTCCCCCAAAAGCCAGGAAAAAGCTGGAGGCAGAGCTGGAAGGAGGCTGGCCCTGCCTCCCCACATGATGTTTGCAGCGTGCTTGTCCTCGGCCCCTGGAAAACAAGAGTGAAGTCACGGTGGGGCTGTGGGACAGACACAACTGAATTGTCTTGATTTTTCAATAGATTCAGTCAGACATCGCCGTGGCGTTCCGCACGGTCCGGGGTAGGGTCTTGGTTAGGTTTCATTTGAGGAAAGCTCAGACAGATGCACAGATAGTGGAAAAGCTCCTCTGGGGTGGCTGGATCTGAGGCTGCCGGTGGTGGATTTCCATGTGTCACTGTGAATCCAGCGTGGAGCCAGAGGGAACAGCAGAGAATCTGGGATAAAATCCTCGCTCCGGCGCCAACGCCGCGCTGCGACAGCTCCATCTACTGATGTCACCCAAAAGTGGCAGAACCCAGCAAAACCGGGCACACACCAGGAAAGCCAAGCGCCCCAGGACACAGTCTCCAGAGGCTGCCGATCAACATGCAAAATACAAAATCATAATCATAATAATAATAAAAAATAATAATAGGCCAGACCTCGCAATGGGTATTTCCTCCCCACGCACACGCTCCGAGCAGCTCCAGAGCGGAGAAGGCAGAGTCTGCAGCAGGTTGTGAGTTCCCAAAGTGACTCCAGGGGATTCGGTGCCCGGGCTCTCCTGTGCCACAAACGGCTCTCTCACCTTGTGCTGCAGCCCAGAGCTTCCTCCCCTTAGTTCATGCTCCAAAACACTTAGTTAATGAGTGAGAGTTAAGAGTGTTCAGTTCACCCTTCTCTCAGTTTTGGCATTTTTCTCAGCAGAGCACCAGTAACAAATACTGCAATCATCACCTTATTAGTAGAGACAGATAACGAAGCAGCCCGTGGTGGGGCTAGAAATCTGTGCCAGCTGCTCTCAGCCCCGCTGGCACTGGGAGGTTACACTGAAGAGTTTCTGCAGGCTCCCAGACGGCATAAATTGGGGAAGATTGGCAACATTAAACCCTTCAAAGTGGAAGCAGCTGCCAGCATCTGCTCAAACACCGGCCCGGCTCCATCTCTCCAACAAAGCCACTCGTGGCAGTTCACCCAGAGCCTCTCCCCCTCGCAGTCCTCCCCGGTCAGCAGTGGCCTAAAGCAGGAAAACTACCCAAAAAGTGTGCGGCGGTGCCGAGAGCCCTCTTCCCATAAAGCTTTTAAGAGTCTCTTCATGATGGCTGGAGGATTACACTGCAAGGAGACAAGTCTATGCCATATGGAAAATACATCATAATCCAAAGTAAAATGCTTGTTTGGATAAATATCATTAATACATACATTGCATTCCCACCACTATTCTCAGAGTAAATGTGTTTCACCAGCAACTCTCCTACTTGTCTTGGTCCCGGGAAGGAGTCTCTGCTCAGGGTGAAGCTGGACGGCGACTGTACTGCACCCTGTATCTGTTCACCGGGACCCCGTGGACGTTCACCGTCTCACAGGTCGTTTTGCAGGGCACCATCTCCTCGTCTTCGTCGCCCATGAGCCAGTCTTGAACCACGTCAACTGCCTCCATGGTCACGTTCTCCTCCAGCCACCTGTTGTGCCACTCTTCAAACTGCTGGTGGTGCTTCAGCAGCACCATCGGCTGCACCTGAAAGCAGGACAGTAACCATCACTGAGAGGTTCCTGGGGGAGAAACCAAACCCCTCACCTCTTTGTAGGTCTGAGATGTTCATGCTCTACAACCCAACACAAGCTGTGAAACAGGGAACCGCCTACCTGCATTTAAAGATCTCTAGTTCTTAATGTTTGCCACTCCCCCTTAAAATTTGCACGGTAAAGAGAAGGCTGCTAAACTAAACCAAAGCACAGAGCATTTACCAGCTCTCCTCCACGTTTCATCCCACTGGGTGCAGTTTGCAGGAATTCAGCCACAAGACTTCATAGAATCATAGAATCGTCCAGGTTGGAAGAGACCCTTGAGATCATCGAGTCCAACCATCTCCCCTACTCTACAAAGTCCTCCCCTACACCATGTCCCTCAGCACTGCATCTAAACGGCCCTTAAACACAGCCAGGGATGGGGACTCCACCCCCTCCCTGGGCAGCCTGTTCCAATGCCCGACCACTCTTTGGGTGAAAAATTCCTTCCTAATGTTCAATCTAAACCTCCCCTGTTGGAGCTTGAAGCCATTCCCTCTCGTTCTGTCACTAATGACCTGTGAGAAGAGACCAGCACCAACCTCTCTACAGTGTCCTTTCACGAAGTTGTAGAGAGTGATGAGGTCTCCCCTCAGCCTCCTCTTCCTCATACCTGTCTTTTGGCTCACATCCTCAACCTCTGCTACTGCTACTGCCTGAGCTGTGGAGAGAGGGAGGGGAGATGCACCTGCTTGGCTCGGCAGAGCGCTCCCCGCCTGTACATGTAATCCTCTGAGTTCATGATGAACATCATCTTGTGGGTGTTGAGCTTGAACCGGCAGTCCACGTTGCAGGCACTTTCCACCCCAATCAGCCTCTTCCAGGAGCTCTTCACTTCGCTCCGCAGAGCTCTCACTTGCTTACATTGCCACTTGCGGACCTGTCTTTTGGCTCACATCCTCAACCTCTGCTACTGCTACTGCCTGAGCTGTGGAGAGAGGGAGGGGAGATGCACCTGCTTGGCTCGGCAGAGCGCTCCCCGCCTGTACATGTAATCCTCCGAGTTCATGATGAACATCATCTTGTGGGTGTTGAGCTTGAACCGGCAGTCCACGTTGCAGGCACTTTCCACCCCAATCAGCCTCTTCCAGGAGCTCTTCACTTCGCTCCGCAGAGCTCTCACCTGCTTACATTGCCACTTGCGGAACTTTTTGAGGTTTCTAGAAGAAAACAAGGACGAGGAAGCGCCCGTCACACTTGGTTATCTGTTCTCTTAAGCTAACAGACCTGACAGCACAAGTATGAAATTTCTATTTCCACATTTAATTTTCAGACCTTCTCCAGGATCTTCCTCCATGCGAATATTTAGCAAAATGGGAACAAATTAAGACCTCAAACTCCTCCCAGAAGGGACAGCTTAAACCAGCCCCACTCTCGTCTAAACACAGTTTCATGATCAAACCTCAGTGCAGTGCTCAATTTTTTTCTTCAGCGTTTTTAAGCAGTGCACTGGACTAGAGCAGCCCCTTTGGACTTCAAAGAGTTGCTCTGATGGCACACCACCTAAAATCACTGCCACCCAAGCAGAGAGGAAGCAGTTCTGGCTGCTACAGGTGTGACCCCGGAGAGGGAGAGCTCTCACCTTTGCAGAAAGACGGGTTTCAGTAAGAAGCCATCGTTCTGGTTGTTCGGGGCTCCTTCCACCCCAACGTACTGCTCCATGTAGTTTGCCAGGTGCTACGCAAGAGGGACCAATTCCAAGTCAGATTTCACCCTCATCAAGCCAAATATTACTGCAAAAACCTACTTTCTTTCCAAGCTGCTGTTATCTCACTCAACCCCAAGCTGATTTATGGTGAAATTCTTCTGCTAACACCCCCGTTTCTGCCAATGACCACAGCCCCACATGTATTATTCCCACTTCCCAGGTAAATTTTTCCTCCTGGCAAACTCTCACAGCTTGGAAGAAGGAAAGCATTCTTAGACTTTGCCTGTGGTACAGCAGGCTCCATGGTTGCTGTGACATTACCTGGACCTCCACAGGATCTTCTGTCTGGGTTTCTTCCGTATCCAGAAGCTCAATGGTCATGATGACCTGACCCTTCCGCTGAAGAAACATCACCTGTAATAAAGTTACAGGCACAAGGTATTGGCCATTTGGGTTCACAATAAAATGCTGTATAATCACAAGTCATCTGGAAAACAAATATGAGCTGAGAGAGAAATAAGGAGCAGGGCTTTTCAGATTTGCTCCTGGTTTTGGTTCCTTCTCTCCATATTGCTCTCTCTCTCCTTGGAGCTTCCAAACCCATTTCTCCCAGGAAAAATTGTCCCAGTCACTTTATTCCCTGGCAGCAAGTTCTTACCTTGAAACAGTTCTCATCTGCCATGCAACGTTCAGCCTTCCACTGGTAGCTGGTCTCCTTTGCTGCCCGGACACACCTGGAGGACAAGTTCCCTCCAGCAGCACCTCGCTTCCTCTCGTTCAAGTAGAGCTCAACCACTTTCAAGCAGATGTCGTCGCTCACGAGATGGTGAAGCTTCCATTAAAAAAAAAAAAAAAAAGAGGGAATTTAGTCAGCAAGTCTGGGCCAAGAGTTAACTCTAGTGTGCTCTGAAAGGAGCACAAAGCTCAGCACAGCATCACGCCTCAGGTGAAAAACCGAAGATTTAACTGCAGTGACTTCACACATTTCATTCTCTTTTTCATTACTTTGCAATAAAAGGAACAGAGAAGAGTGAGGGGCTGATGGGCCTTAACTGTAACAAAATTAAAATTAGAAGACAGATTTGAGTAAAAAGGACTGGAGGGTTTTTTGGGAGGCTTTTGCCTTAAATGTAGTTTGGAAATGGCAGAATTTTGAAAAGTCTGGAACTCCAAAAATGGTGGAAAAGGCCAGGAAGGGTAAATCCCTGGAGTTGGTCCCTGTACTGAAGCTGAACCATCTCACCGACCTTCTGTTAGAGTGTCTCCCCTATGAATTTGCTTTAAGTTTACTGAATCCTTGGCACTACAGGGTACTGTGAGAAACCAGTCTGTCTACAGGAGGGAGATGTACAGCCCCCAAACACCCAGCACAGCCAGGCAAGGACTCACCTGGCGGACAATGTTCTGCACCAGTTTGTCCATGGTGAAGCCGATATAGGCGTGGATAGTGAACATCTCCCTCAGCGTGTCCTCGTACTGCGTGGGGTCAATGTTCCCATCCAGCAGACTCCTCACCATGTCCAGGAAGGCAGGGTAATACTCCTCCAGTTCCACCTCACCTGGGTGGGGGAAAAGCAGAGTCACTTCATGCATGTAAGAGGCAGAGCAGAGTCAAGAGATATAAGGGACAGCACTGAGCAAGGACCGTGACGTTCAGTACCAAGAACAAGCCTAGAAGTTCTCTGTAAGGAGTAACAGCTTTGTCTCATGTAACAGACTAAGACAAGACATTTCAGAACATCTGACAACAGGGGGCTTGCGGGCCTTAACTCTAACTAAATTAAAATTAGGAGACAGATCTGAGTAAAAAAGACTGGAGTGTTTTTGGGAGGCTTTTGCCTTAGATGTATTTTGGAAATGGCAGAATTTTGAAAAGTCTGGAACTCCAAAAATGGTGGAAAAGGCCAGGAAGGGTAAATCCCTGGAGGTGGTCCCTGTCTCTCTCAACTATAGGAGAGCCCTCAGAAGATAAATTACAAACTATCTATCCTGTTAAATTAACTGTGTCCACAAATATACTGGAGGTTTGCACCTCTACACTCCCTGCAGGCTTGCCTGCTGCTCTCAGCTACTCAGATTTATACAATCGAGCACTAAAAACCAGAGCATAAAGAACTATGTCCCTGATTATTCTTACTTGGCTGCTTCAGTCTTAGCTCCATGGCTGGATCATTGGTTTTTTCTTTTCTTCCCTCACAAAGGAGTTTCTCTCTCTCTTTTTCAGTCCGATATTCCAGAAGCTGCTTCTGAGCTTGACGATAAATCTTTAGGAGCCTCGAGCACAGAGTCTGGTGAAGGCGGAGGAAGAAATACCAATTATTATTGACAAAGAACAGACTGTAAACATCATCCAGAGTGTTGTGGGGCTCGGCAGCTGTAACATCACAGAAGGTCGCTTTGGCCTCCAAAGGACTGCTCGGAGGCCCAGGCACATGCTTTTTCCGTAGCTCAGGAGTATCCAGGTTCTGCCCCTGATGGTTTTCTCTGTCCTCATCTGTTGATTCTTCAGAAATACCGTGCTCAGGGGGCTGAGAGAAAAACAGCTCTGGTATGAAGTGATGGACGATCTGCCGAATGGTTGCTTGATCTTCTTTCTGGATAGTGGGCTGCCTTTTTACATAATAGCTGATAAGAGAGGCTGCATCTTCCAAAATCTGCTTATCTTCGTAGATAAAGATAAGATGAGGCTCGTTTGTGGATGAACTTCTCCCCTCTGAATGCTGCTCCTGATGCTGTAATCAAGAGACAAATAGATAAAGATCCTTCCAATCCATGCTCAAGAGCCATTCCTGCCAGAAGAAATAAGCCAGTATTAACGCTCTGCTTGGGACGCTCATTTTTGATGGAGAACTCTTCAGAGCACTACCACCTTCTACAGGGTCCCAGGAGCTACGTAAACATCTAGATGATACCATAAATGAAGGACGTAGAGGATGGGTTATTTACCAGATACTCACCTCATCATAGACACTCTCAATTTCGTTCAGCAAGCTCTTGGAGCGCAAAGCTTTGGTGTCGTTCTGTTTGAAGTTCACAGCCTGGTGGTCGAGGGATTTCAGGTAGGCTTTCTCATACTGCTCCCGCCAGATTTTGTTGAAGCCCTGCTGGGCCTCCCTCCACTCCTCCTCCTTTGCTTTTAACCTGCATGAACGTAGAATCAGCTTCAGTACAAAAAAACAACCATAGGAACACACAGGTAGCATTTTAACGTAGCCAACTGTCACGCACCCAAAGCTTTTCAATATTCCTGGAAGCAATAAATAAATCAAAGCACCACCACTGAAGATGAATTATCCTTTGAAACAGAAAACAACTGTTTAAAAATGCCTTAAAAATCCTTTATCAGTTTCTTAAAGATCCCAGGTGAACAAACGAGGCTGGGAATTACCTCTTAAGAACAACAGGAACTGCAGTAACTGGGTTTTTCTTAAGACTTTCAATGATTTCTGGTGCTTTATCACCGTAGATGCGATAGATGGCCCTGCGCTGGATCACTTCCGATGTCCCTCCCAAGCAATCATCCAGCCGAAATTTCTCCTGATCCTCTTGAGTCAGTCGAGACAGTTTTTTCTGCACGCTCTCCAGCACACGTATTGTGGCTAAATTGGTCTCCAGGACAACATCCAACTGTTAAAAGTTCACAAAAAGCACAGTGTAAGAACAGGCAGAACAGGAAAATGGAGCCCAGGTTTATGGCATCCATTCCAGCCCCACTGGGTGGAGCTAAAAGCATCAGCAAGGTTTCTTACTGGAAAATACACCTCTGCCAGTTCTCCCAAAGGTAACAGGCTTTATAAAACCAGACTCATGCTCAGAAAGAACTATTAGACTCCAAGAAAGTGGAGAGCACCAAACTCTAGCTCAAACCAACGAACAGTAATAGAACTTTCAGTATTTGGCCACCAATTGATTCAGTCAAAATCCTCAGAGCCAGAAGTTTGGCTTTCTGAGGAGCAGAGAGGCAGAAAGGAAGCTCAGTAGAGGAGGTACCTCAAACCGCTCATCTTCACAGCGGTGCAACTGCTCCTCGTACGGAGTCTTCTTGGAGCTGACAAAAGTGGAGTCTTCAGACCAGGATGGAAATGAAACCCAGGTATCATTTAACACCTGCAACAGCGCAAAGACATGACATTGAACAGAGCCTTGTGAGCCCAGGGCTGCTCTCATGGCGTCTGACACCTCTCTCTTTTATTTTTGCACGGTTCTTCCCTTTCTATCAGGAGTTTCAGACCTAGTTCAGAAGTCACCGCCACGATGGTCCCTCAGAGGATTAAAGGAACCTGGGCCCTGCTCAGAAAGCTCAAAAGCACCTTCACTATCACCTCGCAAACCACAGTGATCACTCTGCAGTAATCAGCAACTGTAAGTGCAGGAGACAGAGTTGCTGACACCAGTAAGAATGGGGAGGACCCATGCTGCAGGTGTGTGTTCTCAGTGAGAACAGCGCCCAGGACACTGGCTCATGGTGCTCCCTCAGGAGAAAAGCTGTTTCTAAAGGCCAAATTAGTCCATTGCTAGCAATTTCAGGCTATTTAGTATTCTCTTCTGTCTATAGGAATAAATATGTGCGTGCACACAGGCTCAAAAGGCATTAAGGTGAAAGACAAATTAGCAAAATGCACGTGGATGCTCTCATTTCAATAAATTGGATGAATAACTGATCTGAGAGAAAAGCTGGGTAACTGGCATTAAAGAGAAGAACCCACGCGCAGAAGCTGTAGCACTAACACAACTTCATGTTATGCAAGTGCAATGTGTGTTCAGGGACTGAAAGGGTTGATCCCAAAGTACCTCCTTGCAAATGGCTGTTCTCCCACTGCACTTTGGCTGCTGGTAGGTTTTGGGCAGAGCCCGGTAGCTCGAGCCGATGCGTTTGCAGGAAGCGTAATCGATTTCCCGACTCATTCCATCCCCGGATCGGTCACTCAGAGGAGAAGCAAATGAAAGCTCTTTCACACCAAGAAAGGACTTGAACTGTGCAAAGAGTTCTGGGAATTTCCTTCAAAAACACAGGGAAATGTAGTTGGTTATTTCACTCTGACTGTTTTAGGGTGGCTCACGTCTGTCGTAAAAGTGAGGGAGAAAATCGAAACAAACGTAGCACTGCAGTGAGAAATCCTTCACCAACGTTTTACCCCCATTATCATTCTCTCCAAAGTGCTTTCTTTGACTTAAGGCAGGAAAAGAATCTCCCTCCACAATTTCACCAATACTCCCCTTAACTGAAGGGTCACTTTGCCTGCTTTCTTTGACTTAAGGCAGGAAAAGAATCCCTCCACAAATTCACCAATACTCCCCTTAACCAAAGGGTCACTTTGCCACATGACTCTTCTGTTGGAAGCCAAAGAGCACCAAGAGGCTCTCGTCAGGCTAGAGCTATTCATCCTTCTCTCGGCTCTGTCCTGAGATCTCATGTTTACATCTGTGTTCTATTTTGAGAGATGAACACAGGGAGTATGAACAGAGACCACCCTCCAGAATTCATGAGGTTCTCTGCCCCCATGACTTCGTATAACACGAGGCTTGTGAAGCCTTCTGTTGGAAGCCAAAGAGCACCAAGAGGCTCTCGTCAGGCTAGAGCTATTCATCCTTCTCTCGGCTCTGTCCTGAGATCTCATGTTTACATCTGTGTTCTATTTTGAGAGATGAACACAGGGAGTATGAACAGAGACCACCCTCCAGAATTCATGAGGTTCTCTGCCCCCATGACTTCGTATAACACGAGGCAGTCCTCTGCTTGTGAAGTTTTCAACCAGATGCACAGGCAGAGGAAAATATCCTCCCCAAAATGTTCTTTAAAAGGTGCATAGATACGTTAAAAGATGCAGATTTTATTACTCCTCTTTTTGGATTAGACCTCAATTTCTTGTATACTACCTAGGAGATATTTCTGAAGTTAAATCCAAAACTTTACTAACTAAGCTCACAATATCTACCAAAAAGTAACAGAGTGAGACCTAAGGAGCAGGACAGAGCAGAGCAGAGTCAGTAACTTACCCTAAAAATGGTGTAACCAGCTGGAGCAGCTCAGAGCCAGAGACCAACTCCTGGTTGAAGAGAGCGATGCAACGGAGAAAATTTTCATAGACCTCCTGACTCTTCAGCACCCGACGCACCTAAAGCACCGTTTGGAGAGAAAGGATCAGGCCACTCCAACCCCACTTTTATTTAGTGTTCATATTGTGAGTATGTTTTTTAGTCTGAGCCACGGGTACAGTGACAAACCTCTGCCTACACTGTGACACAAAAAGAGAATATGCATAAAACCACCCAGTTTCAAACAATAATCTAGTAACAACAGATGATACCGTGAGGAAACATCACTGGAAAATAGAGAAATAGATAAAAATAGACAAAAGCATGTCTGTAAGAGACAAGTATTCAGGAAAAGGTTAGTTATCAGTTTCCATTCATCTTCCAAACCCATCTATTTTCTTTTTTCTTGGTCTGTCTCTCTCTACTACTTGAAAACTCAGGCAATTCCTAAGTGCTCACACTGTACAGAAAACCAACCAATTAATAACCACACAAATGGTTGAAAATAAGTCCATGGAATGTGAGATCAGGCCAAACACCGACCTTGTCGAAGAAGGAGAACTCCTGCAGTGTTCCATATTTCCCCACTGTCGCTACTGACAGATCTTTGGTACCTCGCAGCTTCATTTTCTTCTGTTAAAAGAACAAGCAGTTATATTTAAAATATTGTGACTCAAGTGCAATCGAATTCCATTTCGCTGACAGGTAACAACCCTCTGCAGAAGCTGAGACTCTCTGTTTCCCAAACACTGATCTAGAATTGCTGTGTCGCATCCTCCACTAAGCTAAGAAGAAGAAAACCTAAAAAAAGAATCACTTGAGAAAGAATTTCAAAGAAATATTTCTTCAAAGCAATGAATTATCCCTTTCCAGGGCCAATACTTGTACAGGAGGTCTTGACATTTAGTATTCAACACGTTACCACACACATTTAAGCATACTTTTAAAATTCCCTTTTTCTATAGCAATTATTACTTTAAAAATAGCTTTGAAATTTTGATTTAGTATTCAACGTGTTACCATACACATTTAAGCATACTTTTAAAATTCCCTTTTTCTATAGCAATTATTACTTTAAAAATAACTTTGAAATTTTCTCATACCTAACACCTACATTCCTCAAAGACGCTACTCATTACAACTTTATCTTAATGATTATGTAAACACAATGAATAATATTGAGTTAATTCTTAAGTTTTTGCTTGCTAAAGGTACCTTTGCTGGGCCAGAAACAGGACGCAGCAGCAGTGGCCTGGATCGCTTTTTGCTGTGTTCCAGATTCTTCTCATGCTCAGTTTTCTGGACACTGTTCACTTCACACGGTCCATTTCCTGTGAACTGAAGTAAATAAATAATAATTTCAATGTTCCCTTCTCGATTGGTGCAGATAAAGAACCCTATCTATCAGAACAGGACAGAGAACACGTAGTGAAGTCACCTCTTCTGCCAAATTCCCAACAATGAGGAGGAACAAAGTTCATCTTTCTGTTTTTCCATAATGTTTTGCATTCCTAAAGCTTCTTTATGTATTCTACACCCAGAGAGTGTTCAATGTTCTGCCTTGCTCTAAGGACACACGTACCAAAGACCTTTTAGCCTCTGGAAGGAACTGGCCAAACTCCGAAAGCAGATCCTCCTGTCCCCTGAACAGATTTGCTACTTCTGTAAAAACTTCTTCTTCTGACATGCCCCGAAAGGGTCGGCCTTTAGTGTTGAGCTGTTCTTTCTGAAAAGACAGGCAGAGATGTTCAGAGTCAAACCCACACCTCACTAGGCAAGAAAATTCATCGACTCAGCCAAAAATCTGCTACACGAATCAAAAGACAGGCAGAGATGTTCAGAGTCAAACCCATACCTCACTAGGCAAGAAAATTCATCGACTCAGCCAAATATCTTCTGCTTACATGAACCTGAACTAACTAGCAGACAGCCCAAGGTTCTTACAGCACATCCTTTCACACACAGTATCACTAAATCAGGCAAAGGTGAGTAAAGACAGATCTAGATACAACCCCTTTACACCTCAGACCCTGGAAAGTGCCACAATTTACACACTTTTTGTCATTTCATGTGAATATCTATGAGGCAACTGCTGGCCAAAGGCTAGTGCTTGGGAAATGCCTAAGCCTGTTCAATAGGCAAACATTAATTTAACAGCAAGTACTCAAACAGCTACAGAGCAAACCCACAATCTCTTAAATGGAAGACTCTTTACCTGGTAAGTATGAAGGATTTCCAAAAAGGATCTATAAATTTCTGGATGGTCAAGGAAACGTGTTTTGATCTTATTCACGTAACTGATAGCATTATTGAACTCTACAGAATCAGACTCCAGGGGAATTTGGGATTTGTCTTCTTTGTAGGGCAGCTGTTGCCTAAACTCCTCGGAGCAGTCGCTGTGGTTGTGTGAGTTCTCCTGGGAGTAATGCAACAAGAGCCCGCTGCCAGGGAGGGCACTGGGCACCGGCTCCGGGGGCACCTGGTGGCACAGGACACATGAGACAGTGACTCAGACAGAAACAGAAGTTGCAACCTCACATCAGGATTTTCAAGCTGTTTAGCTGAAAAAAAGATTACCACGTGAAGGAGAAAGAAAAAGAGTTCATTAGCCGACTCATTTCCCTGCCTAGTTTATTAACACCATCAGTTAAAAAACCTCCTGTAGTCATATCTGGTCTATGAACAAACCCTCTGACTCGTTACTGCTTTGGGCTGTCACTGCGTTATCCACGACACCACGACCAAACACCACCCACCACAGTTTGTTACAGCTGTTTTATTTCAGAGGAAGTGTCAGTTTTAAGAGCCTTACGTTTTAATACATTTCTTGAAGATCCTAATTTCTAAGCAACAGAAAGATCTAAGGGAACCAAGATCTAAAAGGTATTTACTGCTATTAACGAGAGTGAAACCGCAAGTTCACCAGTAGAATTCAGGTAATAGCTCTGTTTCAGCCTCCACAACCACACACCACCAACAACAACAAAAATGGAGCAGGGGCCAGTATGTACCCATCTGTGTTACGGCAGATGTCTTTCATTGCAGGATCACAGAATGCTATGGGGTTGGAAGGGACCTCTGGAGATCATCTCCTCCAACCCCCTGCCAGAGCAGGGTCACCCAGAGTAGGTCGCACAGGAACGTGTCCAGGGGGGTTTGAATGTCTCCAAAGATAGAGACCCCACCACCTGTCTGGGCAGCCTCTTCCAGGTCTCTGCCACCCTCACAGGAAAGAAGTTCCTCCTCATGTTTAGGTGGAACTTGTTATGTTCAAGTTTGTGCCCGTTCCCTCTTGTCCTGTCCCTGGGCACCACTGAGAAAAAAACAGCCCCATCCTCCTGACACCCACCCTTTAAGTATTTATCTGTGTTGATCAGATCCCCCCTCAGTCTGCTCTTCTCCAGACTAAAAAGACCCAAGTCCCTCAGCCTTTCCTCATCAGAGATGTTCTAGTTCCCTCATCATCTTTGTAGCCCTCTGCTGTGCCCTCTCCAGCAGTTCCCTGTCCTTCTGGAACTGAGGAGCCCAGAACTGGTCCCAGTGCTCCAGATGGGGCCTCCCCAGGGCAGAGCAGAGAGGCAGGATGACCTCCCTCAACCTGCTGGCCACACTCTTCTTGATGCCCCCCAGGATGCCATTGGCCTTCTTGGCCACAAGGGCCCATTGCTGGCTCATGGGCATCCTGTTGCCCACTAGGATTCCCAGGTCCTCTTCCTCAGAGCTGCTCTCCAGCAGGTCACCCCCAACCTGTCCCAGATGTTGACAATTGCACGGCAATACCCGACATATATTTTTTGCCTGTTGCCTAAACACATTTCCCAGTTTCTCAGTGGAAGAAAGACTGGAAACATGATTCTTCCAGGATCTCTTTTTGAAATTTATCACTACACACAGCACCTACTGTGAATCTACATAAGTATGTCACGCCAATCCCAACTTCAGTTTTCAAATCTGACTGAAGTATCTGGAGTGGCACTTCATGCGGGAACATCATTCTTGTATAAGCTTTGAGAATAAATACTTAAATTTCTATTATACCCATTATCATAGATTTTGAAAATCATGTTAAAACTGTAGCAACGTGCAACTGTGCAAGAAATGTGTATTGTGACACTTGTAACAGAATTTATGTAGAAAACGTGAGCTCTGTGACCTACCTGACTATTCAAAGGTGACTGTATGCTTAACTTCCCATTCTTTGGAATTTCTATCCTGTAGCCCAGAGGGAGGAAAGCGTTGAATCCTACAATGAGGTCGGGATGCTCATGGAAAAGCTGTGAAACCCGTCGGATTACTCCAGGTGTGTCAATGCTAAAATTGAGAAGAGGTGTCCAAATCAGAAATTTTAAAGTTAAGCCTAGAAAACTGCAGAGGGATGTGAAGCATATGGCTTCTCAGAGGTGCAATTTTTAACAAGCCAGTTTGGGAACCTCAGACCTAGAAATGAGCCCAAGCAGAGGGAATGGCCACTGGAGTACTGTACTGGGAGAGTTATCCCCAGAGAGGAGACAGGAGTGCACAGGTTACCCAAAACAGGTGAGACAGCTGTCACCTCCAGGGCTGACAGCTCACAGAGAGCCTCTGCACTCAACCTTCACTGAATTTCACTGAATTTTTAGAGTTGGAAGGGACCATAGAGATCATCTAGTCCAACCCCCCTGCTGAAGCAGGATTGCCTAGAGCTAGAGCATGTTACTCAGGACTGCATCCAGATGGGTCTTGAAAATCTCCAAAGAAGGGGACTCCACAACCTCCCTGGGCAGCCTGTTCCAGGGCTCTGTCACCCCCACTGTGAAGCAGATTTTTCTCATATTTGAGTTGAACCTCCCATGTTCCAGCTTATGCCTGTTACCCCTTGTCCTCTCATTGGCAAGCGCTGAAAAGAGTCTGGCTCCCTCCTCCTTCAAACCACCCTTTAGGTACTTATAGGCATTGATAAGCTCTCCCCTCAGCCTTCTTCTCTCCAGACTAAAGAGCCCCAACTCTCTCAGCCTTTCCTCATAAGGGAGATGCTCCAATCCTTGAATCATCTTCGTCGCCCTTCGCTGGACTCTTTCCAGTAGGTCCTTGTCCTTCTTGAGCTGGGGAGCCCAGAACTGGATGCAGTACTCCAGTTGTGACCTCACCAGTGCAGAGTAGAGGGGGAGAATGACCTCCCTCGACCTTCTCCACTTATTTTCAAGATCTGCGTTTTGGAGCGTGAGCTAAAAATAGATTTGCCTTCTCCTGGGGATTTTATCTCTGGAAAAATGATGGGATAGACAGAGCACTTCCACCTCCACTGTCTAGGGACCGCACTACTGGTGGACAGGCCAGCAGGGTGGCTTGCATGTCTGCCGAGGTGGAAAGATGAAGGCTGGGGGACCCCACAGAGACAGAGAGACCCCCACAAAGACAGAGATACCCCAGCAGAGGCTGAGGAGCTCCCCGGAGCAGCCCCGGGGTGCAGGGCCTGGGCTTTACCTCTGGCTCTTGAACTCCTTCATGATCTCCAGGAAGCCGTTGTAGGTGGCGGGGTCGCTGCCAAAGCGGATCTTCACCTGGTCCAGGTAAGAAAGCGCATCCTCCACCTGCGGGCGAGAAGGTGGGTGAGGCCCAGAGTGGGGGAACAAGCCCTGGGGCACCCCCCCGGCCCCAAAATGGGGGCAGGGGCACCTCACGGCACTGAGGGGAGGTGGGACAGGCCCTGGGGGAGCCCCACAACACCGGGGGAGGGGGAGAAACCCGGGGAGGTACCAGCTGAGGAGGCCCTGAGGAAGGCAGGCCCCGGTGGGGACCCAAGGGACGGGAGAGGGGGGGCCTCAAGGTGCTGGGGGAGGATGGCGAGGCACCGAGGGGGGGGTCACGTCCCCAGGGAGGATGTCCGCGGCGCCAGAGAACAGCCAGGCTGGGGAGGGGGGGGCACGG